ATCAGTTGCTTTTAACGACTCGTTTAATTTTAAAAACTCTTATTTTTTTGTAGCTGTGTTTAAACACGCTAATGCATGTGTATTTAGTTATAATGCTGTTGGTAGAGACAACTTTGTTGTTTACTTAACTAGCAAATTGGAGAAAGTGAGCAGAAAGCTGAAATAATTGCGATAAGCCCCAACGAAAACGCGACGCGAGTGCAATAAATATCACCATCATTAAACAATCTAGTAATTTCTTTCCATACGCTCGTGGTAGATACAAAATCCAAGTCGTCGAAACTTAATACTTTAATCGATTTGTCCTACCTGCTTTTTTGTTTTAAGGGTTTTTTCCAATTAATTAATTGATATTTAAATTACACCAGGACCGTATCCAATATTTCATTTCGCTCAAATAACCTTATCTTTTACTGAGGACAAAAAAAGGTTGTGCACTCCCTCCACGTTCGATTTTACGTGCGTTTGGACCCTCATATCCTCCCTCCCCCTGAGTACAACCTTGAAATGTAGGTACTCAAAGTATATTTGCAGAAACCAGAGATTAAACTAAATTAATTAAGGAATAATAAATGATTAAATTTTCCACTTCTGGTTATTCTCATTAGTATTTTAAACCAATGCTGCTATTTGTTATTAATTTATAATTACCTAATAGTAAAAATTGATGTGAAGGAAATTATTATTTTTAATTTTTCTTGAACATTATAATTTTTGTTCATTTAATTTTAACTATCAAATCCAGAAAAACTAATACTGGAAAATATGTCACACTTATGCTTACTTTAAAACTGATTATATGTTTTGATTCGATAACTTCACACTTCTTAACATTAAACTACATACTTTTCGTAATCGTGTGTCCCTACAAATTCCGAGAAGTTGTAATAAGGGTATGAATTTAATTTTTGAACATCATGCAGTAAAAAAGTAAACAGACTTAATTTGATTACGTAGAAGTTATAAAGAAAAAACAATTCATGTTTCCGTAATGTAGGTACTTGAAAAGACTGAATTTACCATTCTTAATGTAGTTTTCGAATAATTTTATAAGAGATAGTGAAGATAGGTTGGTAGGACACCTTCTCAGGCATGAAGGGCTGGATAGTGACATTGGAAGCAGAAGCAGCAATTAAAAGGATGTGGGATGTTCTAGTTCTAGGAAAATGCGAAGATTATAGCTCAGGATAGAAAAGAGTGGAGGTGCGTGTTCAATCAGTTTTATGACTGACAGCCTTATGACGATGATAACAATTTAAAGCAATTTAGGATACAGAATTTGTCGTCATGTTACTTTTGTAATTTATTCAAATATTCGTTGTCCTTTAAAATTGCCCTTTAAAAAAAAGTTTACGTTTGTTTTAGAAGCAGTTCGTTAATTTTTTCATTTTTCATTCCGCCAGAGTTGAGCTTTCTCAGACTAGCCCGAATATTTTTTAGTCAAATTATGACGTTCCCATTAACACTCTCATTTGTTTTTTCTTTTCGTTGCCGTGGGAATTATTTCAAACGGCGTCGCTTAATGCTATTCTTTGGCAATCACCATAATTTTGTCCTCGGGATTCCCTCAAGGAAATTGTCTGCCGTTCTTCTTTAACATATTTTCCATGTCATTTCCGACCATTAACTTGGTTACGTCGGTCCAACGTAAAAATGCCTGTTAATGGATGATAATGCTTGCTTTGCGTTCATATTTTTCCCTCGGAGGGAACGCTCCGTCGTGAAACTCGAATTGCATTTTGTTTTATTTTTCATCTAAATAAAAACAACAAACAAGAAAGATAGAAAGTATAGCTAGAAGCAATTTGTTCAGGAAATTGTGATTTAAAACTAACAACTTTTCACTTCAGCAACAGGAAATTTAACGATCAAAGAATAAATCTACAGGGTGAACAAATATCGACGTTTTAGTAAAAGATACGAAATATACTGTTATAGAAGAATAACTACCATTTACAATAATACGAGGATGATTCAAATATAATTCTTTTGCATAGAAAACCTTATATTTTAAGGTACCACTTTTGTATATTCAATAGGTAGTTTTTATACCGTTTTCAAAAGAAGACATAGGGCGTATTCGCCCATATAACAACCTTAAGAGCTTTTGCGGGAATATAGAAATTTCTTTGGGAAAATTCGAAACTAAAGGGAGGGTATTCGACATTGTGCGGTCTGGCAATGTCGTTGAAAAGCAGAACGTTTCGGGTAGGCCAATGGCGCCACTTAAATTTAGGTCTAAAAGGATATATTAGTATGTAACGTTTCTTGTGTGACGACTACAGGGAAAGTCAAGCACCAAGTTCCAGAAAACTGACATCATCAC